CAGCGGCTGGGAACCCTGGGCCCTTTTGAGTCACCAGGCCCTGAGGCAACTGCCCCCTTTGCCCCACCCTGTTGCAGGCCTGCCCTGCAATGCCAACAACTGAGTCCCATCCTCACTGTCCGAGCGCCCCCAGGTGGGAGGGTGGGGAGGCACAGCTGTAGGCTCCTCCTCCTCCATGGTACTATGGAAAAGCCACCCACTGACACACCAGCATAAAGCCAGACTAATCCCCGGTCTCTTCCTAAATCACCCTGGCTATGTCTAGACTGGCATGATTTTCTGCAAATGCTTTTAACGGAAAAGTTTTTCATTAAAAGCATTTGCGGAAAAGAGCGTCTAGATTGGCACAGACGCTTTTCCGCAAAAAAGCCCCGATCGCCATTTTAGCCATCGAGGCTTTTTTGAGCAAAACTGTACTGTGGACTAATCCCCGGTCTCTTCCTAAATCACCCTGGCTATGTCTAGACTGGCATGATTTTCTGCAAATGCTTTTAACGGAAAAGTTTTTCATTAAAAGCATTTGCGGAAAAGAGCGTCTAGATTGGCACAGACGCTTTTCCGCAAAAAAGCCCCGATCGCCATTTTAGCCATCGAGGCTTTTTTGAGCAAAACTGTACTGTGCTATCTACATTGGCTCTCTTGCTCAAATGATTTGCACAAGAGGGCTTTTGCCCGAACGGGAGCGGCATAGTATTTCCGCAAGAAGCACTGATTTCTTACAGTAGGAAGTCAGTGGTCTTGCGGAAATTCAAGCGGCCAGTGTAGACAGCTGGCAAGTTTTTCCGCAAAAGCGAAAGATGCTTTCGAAAGAGCCTCTTTCGAAAGAGGCTTGCAGTCTAGACATAGCCATAGTGAATACTAAGCCCTTCCTGATCGTGGGGGCAGAGGGTAGGTCTCACAGTAACAACCTCTTTGAGGCAGGCTTGTTGGTCTCCCAGGCCCTGCATTCACTGGGAGATCTGGTCACTCATAGAACCACCTTTGCTGATGAGATTCATTGTGCCCTCGTCACAGCAGGAGGAGTTTGTATTCTCCTTGACCCCGAGCAGCAGGCTCATTTGCTAAGGCCATCCACTTAGGGGGAGTATATCATTGCTTTAAGCTGAGCTAGTTCAGCCCCATTACCCTGCAGCGACCACAGGTTTGGACCAAAGATTTGGTTTAGATGGTTCTTATAAACACACTTTGTTTTTTATTGGTACATAAGAACATAAGAACGGCCGTACTGGGTCAGACCAAAGGTCCTTCTAGCCCAGTATCCTGTCTGCCGACAGTGGCCAGCACCAGGTGCCCCAGAGAGGGTGAACCGAAGACAATGATCAAGCGATTTGTCTCCTGCCATCTCTCTCCAG